ATTTGACGAAGAGTACAAGTTATGAAGCTCCTCTTTACTCAGTACAACATCCTGTCAGTTCATGTCATGAAGAGTACATTAATTTAAAGAGTACAATATCTGTGTTACTCTTTACGTGATTCACTTCCCAGTGTGATGTGTGTGCTAGAGATGTTTGAACAGCTATGATGCATAAAAGTAGTAGTTATATCTTATGTAAATTGTGTCATATGTAATACGCAGTTCATATGTGTTCTCTGGAGTGTGCTTCTCTTATGAGAACCTCCATTCCATCCATAAGCCGTAATGGCGTGTTGTTCATTTGTTTACGTTTACCATAATATGAGTTTATTTGACAGTGTGCACGAGGTTAACGTACATAGTGGTGGGCATATGTTGCAAAAGCATCCACCGGATTTCTAGTATATTTGCGTCGGAGATTAATGCTGAAGGTTTAGGGCTAATTTAATTTCAATCCACATAAATCCACTTTTAATTCCTGTATTACATGAAATTCAAATCGAAATATGTCGTCACACGAAATCTTAATGCATGGCGTGCCTGCTTGTATGTATCCACTAGTCAGACACGTACATAAGGCGCGCACTCCAAGAAATTACGAAACAGAAAAGCTAACCACACAGCCACAATATTCGGTTCCCTACCACCGTTTGTTTGGATACTGCCGCATGGTGGCAGCACGTCTTTGCCCTTAAAGTGGTCAGATTTAGAAACATGACAGTCCTATCTCACCTGGGCCGCCCAAATTTGCTAGAATCTGGGCCACGCGTCTGATCTCATGGCTAGCCCCTCTATCTTATTTGCGCTGGAATGTAGTCCTGCTCATGTTTTTTTTTTATTATTTTATGTTGAAGAATAAAGCGGTTCTTGGTCACTGAATAAAAGCGGTACAAATCCTATATAAAAATATTATAATTACGGGCATTGGGACGAATAGGGGTTAGCGGTAGCACTGAGGTAATAAATCAAAGTGTAAAACAGGGGTGCCCGTTATCTCCATTTTTTGATTAGCACATATATAGACGAAGCAATTAATCAATGACGAAGTAGTACAATTAGAGGAATTAAAATTAATAGACAGAACTTAATTACAATTTGCAGGCGGTCAGGCGATTTCTAATTGAGCCAGAATATAGCATATAGATAGGTGCTAATCAACTTCAAGAAACGGTGAATAAATCTAACTTGGAAATTCCAACTGGTGAAACCCAGAACAATCTCATCGTGAAACGTGTTCTCAGAGCTGTTCCCTAGCAACGGCTGTTGTACTATCACCTGTTTACACGGGTGTTACTTGCCAATGGATCTACATACCGCACTATATTCACATATTCCTGGAAGATCAGTAGAAGTAATCTTAAACAACTTAAATTTGAAGCCTGTAAACAAATGCTCTGTCCCCCTATAGAACTGGCTCAAACTGCTTGGAATTCGTTTCCGCATATGTAAGAATGGCCCACAGTTGTCATTACTGTTTGCACGACGCTAGAATATGTCATTAGGGAATTTCTGAAAGAGTGCCTGGAACCAGAGAGTTTTCCCTGCAGAGTTACTTACATTATTATGACAATGTGTTGGTTATTTTAATTTATTGGGAGAATGTGTGGTTGGAGAGAATTGTGGGCTGGCACACGGGCGCTTATTTTGATGGATAATTTTAGTAGGCATGTACAAAACCGAGATTAACGGCCGTGGGGACCCGTTGCGCTGTCCTCGTGACACCTATCCGCAAGATGCTGGCACTAACTTCTCCGGCAAGCAGCTGTCCCTCGGTCGGTATAGTTGGCCACTCAAGCCAAGGAGTTTGTTTTGTACGCAGTTTGTGAATTTACTAAGCGACGCTGTTAGTAGCACGAACTATGTAGCGTCAAATGATAGGAATATTACTTACTTACTTACTTACTTACTCATGGAGCTGAGCCCTTCTTGAGGAGCCGCCAATTCTGCAGCTATTCAAGAATTTCCCAGAATTTTATGGAACCCGAAGGTTCATTACCGTGTTCACAAGAACCCTCCACTGGTCCCTATCATGAGTCAGATCAATCCAATCCACACCATCCCAGCCTGTCTCTCTAATATTTTCCACCCACTTACGCCTTGGTCTTCCCAGTGTTCTCTTTCCTTCTGGTTTTTCCACCAGTATCCTATATACATTAATAGGAATATTACTGAATGATAAATTGAAAAGGCGTGGATAGAAGCGTCCGTGCATTGTCCATGAATTACCCAGGTGGGCTGAGGAAAACAGCGGAAAAGCTTATTATAATTCATATCTCAATCGAGAATCGATCCTAGTACGTCATAACTGTTACATGGTACATGTACATGAGGAGGTAACGATGGTTTGGTGGGTGGGCTGGTGGGTAGCCAGATGGTTGTTGTTGAAATCATAAAATTATCTTTCGTCATTCTTTAATATTTGAGGTTGCTGTGCCGGTGTCTGTTGCATTTAAGTCCTTGCACTTATGAAGGTTTTGAACTTGCATGTGACGGCAAAACGGGTGTAGAAGGAAGATTCTGCAGGAGCCGTAAAGAAACTGAGATTTCAGCCAACTTTGTAACCCGACCCTAAAATGACAAACAAGTGGAGCGTTTTCAACGTAGAAATAATTTATTTCCAGGCTCTTGTGTATTAGTGTATCAAGCCTCGTAACACTGGTTTTAAAAGCTTGTCTCTCCGCTCGTCCATCAAAACTGTTAGCTTTTAATTAACTCGCTTGCATGGCCTTTCTCCCCCATGCGAGCCTTTTCCTCCACAGAGCTTTCCTTATTAATCCCTAACTACAAGCCCCCCCTGTGGCGGTTTGAAATTCGCCTTATGCACGACTTCCGGCGTCTTTGATATGCCTCAGGGTTACTCGTGAGTCATCGGGCCGGTTACTCGATTATTTCTATGTAACAGCTGTTTACCATGCTTTTCAAATTTATCAGTGCACATTCTCCAAATTGAGACTGAGCAGACTGATGTCGCGGTAACGCCATAAACATTTGAGAAAAACTCGACCGGTAGACTGGTTATCCAGGTTTTATTCAGTCCCTCCGTGCAAATGGTGAGTTAGTACTCAGTGGCGCAGTCCACAAATCCCTCCTATCGGTAATAAAAGGTAAAGCTATCCCTATAATAGACCGTAGAGGCCTGTATGTTTGGGAACCACAAAATTCTCAGTATGTTCAGGTTAACTTAAGTGATGTATGGGGTATATAAAACCATAAAGACTTGTTACTCTTTGGATTTGAAGTTCTCATGACCGTGACTAGAAGAGTACTGTATTCGGCAGAAATCGAGCGATGTTTCGGTGCAACGTACAATATCGTCCTTCGCCACCAGACTGCAGCCCCGTAGCGTTCCAGAAGATAGTTATTCTTCATGTGTTACTATGTTACTTTCTTATGTAGCCCTGTCTCTGATCTGCACTAAGGCATGTCTTCACCATGGTGTTTTGCACCGTGAACTGTGGCCAGATTTGTCTGTTTATGTAATTTCATTGTGTTCTGTTGTCCCGATTCCTGGTCCCATAAAGTTGCTTACAGATTTGTTGAAGCGGTATGGTTCGCACTACGGGGTGAACCGGAAGAAAGTGTAAAGGAAAACTTTGTCTTTTGTAGGAAACTTTCAACATTATAATTGAGAAAACGTTCTGTGTAGCGGAAAATTAAGGTTACTGGTTTTCTGATGCAGTAAAGACGTTTCAACGCCATGTGCAACTAAGCCTTAAAACATTCGTCCAGTTAATTACCAGCCAGTGATTATGAGGTTCATGTTTTGCTTATTTTATAAAAGGTGGAATGTAATAGACTGTGTTGACATATTAATGTAATTTTGGGAACAAATGAAACTCCGCCAATTTTAGCAGAACAGTGATGGATGGTCTAAAACGGAGGTATAATTACACTTCATTCAAGCCATTGTAATCAGTTACACTGAACTGTTATTTAGCTTCAATTATGGCCTATGTGATATTTGGTTTTCCAGTAAAATTTAAATTGAAAAAAAATATTTCTCAAAGGACTTTGTTGTCTGAAAAAACTCAAAAATATACTTCCAACTCTCCATCCAACCAGGTGCCAAGCCAGAGATGTGATAATGTGCTGTTAGTCAAGTCTATCCCACATCTTAGGCAGCCATGATAGAGGAGTATATAAGAATGGTATAGGAAAACCCAAAAATATCACATGCCATGAATAGAAGACAGACGGATTTCAAAGAAAATTCTAATTAACATACAGACAAAAAAGAAGACAAAAGATAGAACGCCCACAGTTAAGATAGAGATAAGCATGCTCTTCAAGAGGATGGAACAGACCATGCATGGCCTAATCCATTATGATGATAATGATTATGATTATGATAATGATAATAAAAATGCCTACTAGATTTTTACCACCTGTTTTGAGAGAAACTTGGGAAAACAGTATCTGACTTNGACTGTGTCCACTGGTGTAAGTGATGGATGATATAAATCTCTGCAGGAAGGAGGATCTCTCATGTCTCCTCCTGATGCTCTGCCTCATTACCTCACCTGTGCTCATTAGTNACAGACCATGCATGGCCTAATCCATTATGATGATAATGATTATGATTATGATAATGATAATAAAAATGCCTACTAGATTTTTACCACCTGTTTTGAGAGAAACTTGGGAAAACAGTATCTGACTTGTATCCCCACTGACTGTGTCCAGTGGTGTTAGTGATGGATGATATAAATCTCTGCAGGAAGGAAGATCTCTCATATCTCCTCCTGATGCTCTGCCTCATTACCTCACCTGTGCTCATTAGTTCCTCTCAGCATCACACTACATGTTAGTCATTCATTTTAGTTTGTTGTTGTTTCTCTCTCCCTTTGTAGAAGGACTTGTGTAACTTTAGTATCTCTTTTTTGTAGTAAATCATTTGGAGATTTTCTGTTCCAAAACGTGTATAATGTGTTAAAAATAATGCAATTTTAAATTTTTATAACATTTATTTCATAGCCACTGAGGAATACATCACTAACATTATGTTACCCTGTGTTTCAGTGTTACGTGATGAATTCCGTCCTATGCCAAAAGATACACGAGTGGCAGCTGGAGAGACTGCGCTCTTGGAATGTGGTCCCCCAAAAGGTCATCCGCAGCCCAGCCTAGTCTGGAGGAAAAACGGCCAGACAATTAACATTGAAGCTTCCAAGAGGTAAGAAAACTTTGAGGTTTATTAACGACTTAAAAATACAGTGACTACATATACCGGTTGCTGAAGTCAAGCCTTAGTCACATGCCCTGATATTACCTCTGCCTGTCATCTCTGAACCATTAAGTCCAATCCTCATCACTTCTGCTTCATAAAGACTTGTTGCTCTACCATCTCTGTCTCATTTTTCAAATGACCACTCAACAGAGATTTTTCAAACAAATTTATGTTCGCATTTCTTGTATGTAAATATATTATTTTAGAACATTATCCCTTATTTAGCTGGGCCAAGCTTGTCATGAATCTTTATTCAACTCAAATGTCACTGAACTTGTTTAAGGCTCACAGAAATGATGAAATGATCCCTTGCGACTGCAGTGGTCAAAGATATATCAGGATCTGCCTGTTGCAGTGGACTACTGTCAAATATTTTGTTTCTTACACTTGTCTCCCACCATAACAATGTCTCAAACAAGATGGTATCCAGTAAAGGCAACATTGCACAAAAGCTGATGGAACAGAATGGCAATTTTCTATCCTGGTGTTGGGACAGGACTCTGGCTTTTGTACAAAATGTGCTGCTGCATCTATTTGACTTTGTGTTTTATCTCTGCTTCAGATTAGATAAGATTAATGTTCTGAGGATGTTTGTAACATACTGGCTGGTGATGGTTGCAATTATTCATAAATTGCATATCTTGTACACATAATTCAAGTAATTTTGCCTTCAGTTTTTTATGCCCAATCAGTGTTATAGCATACACCCAATACTAAATAACCGATTTGTGTTATAATTCAGGGGATCATTCATTTATTTTAGAATTGAAATCAGAAGCGAAAATTGATGGAGCAATCAATAGAAATGTACAAATTGTTTCTAAATTCTGTGATATTCGTAAAGGTATATTTCGAAAAATATCTCAAACGCTACAGAATAACAAGAATAGCAAAATTTTTAAACTGATGTAAATGCTTAATTTTGAAACATGAATTTGCAGAAAGATACAAAAGGGAAACCCAAGAAGTGGATAAAAAAATGTGGAATATTGCCAAAGAAATAAGAAGGAACTGAATTAGAAAAGAAATTTATAGAGCAGAAACAGTAATTGTAGACCTTGTTATTAGTGTTAGAAGGTTTAGCCACAGATAAAGAACGAATAAAATAAGAATAGTGAGAAGTGGGATAGAATTAAAATTCAAAAGAAGGAGACATATGGGATGACCAAGAACCATATGTTGGAAGACATCAGGAAGAAAGATAAACACTAGAAATAATGCAAAGAGAAAAGATTGTGGGCAGATAGAAAAGATTGGTAACGTTTTATCTGTCAACCAGTGTAAAATGGAAGCAGTACTGGAAGAAGGGAGAAGAGAAGACAATTCTTTTTCTTTCTTTTTATCAATTTTGTATGATTACAGAGTGCGTGTAGTGGATGGTGGCAATCTCATGATTGCTGATGTGCGGCCAGGAGATGAGGGGAAATATCAGTGCGTTGCTCAGAACATGGTGGGCATCAGAGAGAGTGATCCAGCAACTCTAACTGTACATGGTAAGTAATTGCTATTTACCCAGTTTATGGCGGTATAAATTTCAAATAATATTGTAGAGTATGTGTTGTTGTTGTTTTTGTTGTTGTTGTTGTTGTTGTTGACGACGACGACGACGATGACGCCGCCATAAATCAGGTGGTGGTTCTGCCCGGGTTCAATCCAAGTTGAGGTCACATATCTGTGGTGGACAAGGTTGTACTGTGGTGTTTCCTGCCAATTCTCATTTCCCTGATTGTTCCACATTTATTATTTGTCCTATCATTGATTTCGCGCCATTATCCTGTAAGTTGGTCACAGCACCAGTATAAGATGGCTGCCCCACTTGAGACTTGCACCAGGGAAGAACAACATTTTGTTATTCGGTTTTTGTGTAGTGAAGGTGTGAAACCTATTGAAATTTATCGAAGAATGAAGTTTCAGTATGGTGATGCATGTTTGTCACAGCAGCAAGTGTACTGAATGGAGTAGGAAGTTTGCAAATGGTGTGACTTCAGTGGAAGATGCTCCTCGTCCGGGTCAGGCACATCGAGTTGTGACTCAGAGAACACTGCAGCAGTTGAAGCCATAGTGAGGGAGAAGTGTGGAGTGACATTGAATGAAACTGCAGCAAGTTTAAACATTAGTCATGGTTCAGCACACCAAATTGTGCATGATGTGCTCCAGTTTCACAAAGTGTCTGCAAGATGGGTGCCACAGCAGCTGACTCCTGAATTGAAAGACCGACATATTGATGCTTGTGAAGAACTTCTGCGGTGCTTTGAACGAGAAGGTGAGGACTTCCTTGCAAGAATCGTTACTGGGGACGAAACCTGGATTCACTTCCACCAACTGGAAACGAAGAGAGTGAGCAAGGAATGGCACCATTCCTCATCTCCAAACCCGAAGAAGTTTCGAAGACAACCATCAGCAGGGAAGGTTATGCTGACTCTTTTGGGACAAAAAAGGTGTCATCTTGGAGCACTACACGCCTAGAGGAACCACTGTCACCAGTGCATCATACTCAGATCTCCTAAAAATTATCTTCAGCCTGCAATCAAGTCAAAGCGATGTGGATTGCTGTCCACATGTATCCTTTTGCAACATGACAATGTAAGGCCCCATACTGCCCATACAACAGTTGCGACAATCAATGACCTGCATTTTGAGTTTGTTCCTCATCCGCCATACTCACCAGACCTTGCCCCAAGTGATTTCCATATGTTTGGACCACTCAAAGAAGCAATGGATGGAAAGACGTTCCGTTCTGATGAAGAGGTATGCCACACGGTGCATGAGTGGTTGCACGGACTACCAGAAGAATTTTTTTCTAAAGGAATTCATGCACTTTGTAAGTGCTGGAGGACTTGCATTGAGCGTGGGGGAGATTATGTTGGAAAGTGATACAGCTTTGTACCACTTGTGCACAATAAATTATACTCAAAAATATATTTAAGGTTTTCATTTGACTTGCCTACATATAATGCTGAACTTTAGAATCATTTTTGTAAGTAGCTTCGGAGTTGATGTGAAAGGACACACTCTTGACCTGTTTTGAAATTCAGTTCCAGCCTTTGCCCTGAGAAAATTGAAGAAAAACATGAAAAATCTGAAGTCAGGATAAGTAGTGCCTAGGCCAAGAACCAGGACCTCTTGAATTTAAAGCACTAGTCCTAATGACTGAACTGATACTCAGTAATTTGGATCAGAAATTTCCTAAAAATGAATTTGGAGTATTAAGCTTTACTCCATGGAGTTTGATTAGGCAGCCACATTTTCTAGAATTCAAAAGGTTTTCTTCTTTTCATGGAGGATGTTCACTGAATTTTCTTCCAGGGTGTTAATCTACAAGTGAATTTTTTTCTCTTCTTCCAGACAGCAGCACCATCTGCTCACACTGCTTTATGTCAGCTAGCCTTCTGATATAGCAGTCTTGCATTACAAAAAGTGTCACACAAATATTGTTCTTATTACAGTGAAGCCATTCTTCAGCAAAGAACCATCTGATGTGACGGTACTGAAGGGCCAGAGCGTACAGTTCCAGTGCCGGGTTGGTGGTGATCCTGACCCCAACATCCTATGGCGAAGAGATGATGGGAAGATGCCAATTGGGCGGGCACAGATCCTGGATGACAAGTCGCTTCGCATTGAGAATGTGGAGCCAGTGGATGAGGGGCTGTACATATGTGATGCTGAAAACCTTGTGGGGAGTGTATCAGCTCGAGCATCCCTGACTGTACACTGTGAGTATTCTACCATTTTTTCTGTCTAAAACATAATTGAGGGCATGTCTTACCTTGAGTAGCCAGTCTTACAGAAGGGAAATACTGTGTTCAAGGAGATCTCAAATATTGAACTCTGGTCCTCATTGTGTATTGAAATTAGTATCTACTGACTTTCTAATAATGATGCAATATTGTGCATCTCTATCTCATGATGAAGCAACCTCAAAGGGGTCTTAGACGCAGTTTACGCACATACTGGCTCTAATCATTTTGAAGCCTTTGTATGGGACCTCAGATTAAAGGCTCTGTGTCAACTGTTCATTCAGTGTATCTAGTCTCTTATTGTTATAAATTTTCAAATAGTATTTGGTTGTTTAGTTAAGTGCATATGAATGTCTTGAATATATGAATTCCATCACACCCCTGATAGGAGTGCAGATAAATCCATGACTGAAACTGAATCCTTTTTTTGTTTTCCTTTGGTATCCAGAGCAATGTGTTCTGAGATTAGGATTTCATACCAAGAGGTATTGCCCAGTAACTAATATTTTAAACACCCTATGCTAAGACACTCAACTTTTCTTTGTTCTTTTGATGTACAGTGTCAGTTATATACCTCTGTACCATTTTACCTTGTTGACAGAATAGGCAGTTTCTTAATACATCATGCATGTAAATGAGAAAAAAAAACATATTTAATTATAGAAGAATTGTTTTGTATGAGCTTCAGTATGCCAGAGTTTTGCAAGAGAGTGTTGTGGTTCTGTAGATCTTTTGCCAATTTCTAGCAAGTTTACTCATGAACACTGGCAACCACCTGCAAACCTAACTGGTATCATTACATACAAGATGACCATTTTAATTATCATTGCCATGAATGTCTGAGATTACATATATTAAATTTTGGTTCTCTGTGTTAAAAATGCCTGATCACAGTGGCCATGTACCCTGAGGAATGAGATGTCTTTGCCTACAGAGACACAGGAATCGTGGGTTCAAATCTCACTTGAGGCATGGATGTCTATGTATGTTTATTCTGTGTTTGTGCTGCCCTGTGTGTGCATTTAGTGGCCTTGTGATGGACTGATCCCACATCCAAGGAATCCTATACCAACTGTGTAAAAGATCAAGAAACTGAAAAGTGGCCAAGGGCCAACAGTGGGCCATAGAACCATAGATAGATAGATAGATAGATAGATAGACAGACAGACAGATGCTGAAAATAACAGCGGTGTCAGTATTTTGATGTTGATATTTTACAATGGTAGTAATTTTAGGCAAAAATAAATGAAGTAAATCATTCTTAAATGTGACAAGCCTAACAAGTAGTTGTATGCATTTAAGGTGTCATTAGCTCCCGTTTCTCTATGCTGCTGTTTCTTGTGCTTGTAGCTCCACCCACATTCACAACAAAGCCACAGGATCAGAAGGTTGGTTTGAATGGCTTGGCGAGTTTTGAGTGTGTTGCAACAGGCAACCCACCCCCTTCTGTGTTCTGGACAAAGGAAGGCAGCCAAGTCCTCATGTTTCCAGGCAATTCGTATGGGCATCTCCATGTCACACCTGAGGGTACACTTAAGATTCAGGGTGTGCAACGTGAGGACGCTGGTTTCTTAGTGTGCTCCGCTCTGAGCGTAGCTGGCTCCACCACTGTGAGAGCATTCTTACAGGTATGACACATTCAGTACATCCTGTTTTTCTGACCATCTTTACTACTTCCACTCTTTTCTGTCTTTCTATAACCTTTCCATTTGTTTCTCCTTACAGATTAATAAATTATTGAGTGATGTAAAGAAAACACAGATGCATGCCAATGGATTCTCAAATGATCCATTGAGTGAGACATCAATTTATGTGGCCCCTGTAATCAAAGCTACTGGTGCGTTAGGATTAATGGGAGAGAATTGCAGCATATTATTCTTATCAGTGTCTGACGACTGCAGCTATGTTCTCCAGAAGCACTTGCTAAACTGCATGGATACAACTGCATTTTAAATAACTCTTGAGAATTCAGTAACCCCCATTACAGCAAATTTGTTACCCCCCCTCATAGGGTGTTGCAACCCACAGTTGGAGAAGCCATCTGTTAAGGAGTTCAATACCACATAAAAAAATTTTAAATAAAAATATCATCTAAATTTAAAAGTGACCTACCCGCTAAATCTGGTGTAATGGGGATACTGATATAACTAAATACACTGGGAGTACGTAATGGCATTTCTTCCTCTTTGGGAGTCAGGATAGCTTAGTACAGTGGCAAAGCTATGGGCTAGACAAGCAGGTAATCAGGGTTTGTTGGGCAAAAGCTGTTTCTCTTCTGTACAGTATCCAGACTGGCTCTGTGGCCCTCCCAGTCTCATAGCCACTAGGGATCGGGGAGGGGGGGGGGCTCTTTCCCCAGGAGAAGTGGCCATGACATGAAGCTGACCACTCGTCTCTTTCTAGTGCCAGTGTTAAGCGTACATGGAGCTATTCCTACACTCACTTATACATCTTATTGCTGTGGTACTTAGGTAAACACAGGCATAGCTTTATACTTCTTCCTTTTTTGTTCTTACCCTTTTATTTAAAAAATTCTTTGATCATTATGTGAAAGTTAATTTGAAATATCTACAGTCTACTTAAATTCCTCACAGAATGTGTGCAGTTCAGCTCCAAATTACTAATGGTACGAAATACCTTCTATATTGTGGCGTGTAGACCCATTGCTAAGCAGCGAATCTGTAAACATCAGTCTTTGCTAGACAACGACTGCAACACACTTGCTGCCAACAGTACAGCAATAGTGTTTTCTATGTCCACATACAGGCTTTTGCTATACAACGCATGCGCTGTGACATCACACAAAAGTATGTGACCTTCACATGACATGTTTCCTGTATGTCGACTAGCTTGCGGATATGCGGTGACATCACACAGCAACAGTGAATAGGAGTCACGTGATATGTGTTTACTGTTGGTTGAGGTTGGTCCCTCGGCTATATAAGTGAGTGTCGTAGTTCAGCAGTAGAGTTACAAGAGGGAAGTAGTAGTGGCGGAATCATGAGAAGAGATCAAGTTGGAACTAGAAGTGACAGTGAGTGACATGAGCATAGTCATGAGTTCTGAGTTACTAGTTATGAGAAAAATAGTAGTGGCGGATGCACTCAAACAGAGCAAAGAGGAACCACGAATACAAAAGAATACAGGAGGTTGGCCTGTGAGGATTTAAAGTGTGATTGGAAGATTTTATATGTAATATTTTAGTGATTTGAAGTGATAGTTTCTGTATTGAGATCCTTTGGTAGGAGACGACTTGTGAAAACAGAGAATCATAGGGCGTGTGCAACGGTGAGCTGGGAAGTGTGTAAATCAGCGATAGCACTGTATTGTCTATGTTTAAGTGTGATTAAGAGTGTCTGTATAACCAAAGTGCTAATAAATCCAATCATCCAAACTAGAACCTGTCATTCTTGTTACGTGTACCACCTGACATGTGACATTTTGGTGTCAGGAAGTGGTTACGGCCTTAAACACGTGACAATATATATATTATATTTTCGTGTTTATGGTGCTTCTCTCTCCATCATATTTTGTTATCGCCTGATAAAATCATACATTTCTCGTTTTCCTGACTTGCACACTCAAAATATTGTAATGTGTCTTGTTACTGAAGACGCCATTCAGATTGTTAATTGGTTTATTTAACAACCTGAAAATCTCAGATACAATTAATTGTAACATTGTTGTGTGGTTTCACACTTTATAACCCTATTCGCAAATAATCTCTTCACTCTATCTTCAGTAGTCTACACGTTTTTACAGTACGGGAGCGCTACAAGTCTCTCTGTATTACACACTTCCAATTACACAGTTACACACATGTCCGGTTCTTCTTTCCGCGACGGCTGCTATATTCCAACACAACTCATAGGCTGCTGCCTTGAGAACTCGTTCACTGCTGACTGGAGAACTGTCTTCGGTGACTGATGCCGTTAACTAACTTCTACAACTGAACTCGGCGACGGCCACATTTCAACTCGCTTCGTAGGCAGTGTGGTTCACTTATATAGTCGCACCGCTTGACTGTTACGTAATCGGTACCGCTGTTGGCTGTTAACCGTGTCACAGCTGCGTTGCTTGTTACGTCCCCATGGAGGGGGGAATGGAGCGCTGACTCACCCACCATGTCACTGCTGGGTAGGGAGGTGGTGTCCTCCATTGTGCAACATGTCACAATATCTACAGAGCTGATTCCTTTCTAAAAGAGTAATTAATCTCCATCTTATGAGTACTCCCATGTCATATTTCAGGTATCTCATAGGTTCTGGTATAGTATCTTAATTTAGGCTACCTCCCAGCACAGTCTAAATCAACTGTGTGCTGTGTGTTTGATGTCCTTGACAAACTGTCATAAAAATAAATCAGGAATCTGACTCATTCATATTAATTTATGGAAGTGTGTTGTTGTTATTGTTGTTACCCCTCTTCTCTCTCTTCCTCTTCTTCTTCTATGCATGGGACGATTATGGCTGCACATACATGAGTCCAGTGGGTATAGCCTCACACTGTTTACCACATGAATATCATTATTGCTGAGATAAAATCCAACTGCCAGCACCATAGTAACAGGAGATTTCATCCCCTGTTCACAGACATTGAAGGTTAATTTTATAAACCATTTTCTGATATCTGTTTCTAGTTATTAGGTTACTGTCCATTTTCCTTTGACTTCATATATTACCAAATATTAAAATGTGGCTCCTACAGCAAAATTAAGGCCCAACTGTTTCATTATTATTATTATTATCATCATCTCTGACTTTCAGGTCACATCAGTGGATGATGTTCCACCCCCCATTGTGCAGATTGGCCCTGCCAATCAGACTTTGCCACTGCAGTCAGTAGCCACCTTACCTTGCCAAGCAATTGGCACACCTCAGCCAAAGATCAAGTGGTACAAGAATGGATCCCCTCTCATCAGCCAAGGTCCTCGGATCAAAGTCATGGACCCAGGAACACTGCATATAGATGGTGAGTACTCAAAAGCACATATTGGCTGGTAGAATATTTTCCTGTCCAAGCAGGACAATTTGTCCTGGACAAACAGTCAACCAAGTATTGAGAAGGCTGCTTGAAAAATTTAGACAGAAACAACCTGAACTTTTTGCCAACACCTAATGGATCTTGCATCACGACAATGCACCTGCTCACATGTCACTGTCTGTGATGGATGTTTTAGATAGTAAACAAATAACTAAGTGGAACACCCTCACTATTCACCAGATCTAAGCCCCAGTGACTTTTTTCGGTTCCTAAAGATAAAGGAAATATTGAAATTAAGGCATTTTGATAACATTGATGACATCAGGAGTAATACGACGGCAGCTCTGAAGGCTCTTCCACAAAATCAGTTCCAAAATTGTTTTGAACTGTGGACTAGGTGCTGGCATTAGTGCATAGCTTCCCAAGGGGAGTACTTTGAAGGCAACCACAGCAATATCCAGCAATGAAGTATATAGCACTTTCACTGCAATGAGTTCGTGAACTTTATTGTCAGGCCATGTATCATATGCTCAGCCCACCTTATGGAGTAATTACTCTGCCAGCATTAAGTAAATAGAGAGTGAATTCTGTCATTATATACATGTAGTTTACTTTGCTCCTCTGATTTTTCATCTCTCTTGGCTTGGAATTATGTTGTCAGTGTCATGTCTTCTCTTAGAGTGAGACAGGAAGGTAATACAGTATGCGCCAAAATATTCAGTACTGCAACTCGCGCATCTCGAACATGCATGTGCGTTTGTTGATGGGGCATAGCTCCAGCTGCACATGTTCAAAGTAGTGAAAAGGAAGTTGTGTTGTGCAATTGTTGTTAGAAATGGGTCTCTCGATGGATGAAAAAGTATTCATAGATGAGTATTATTTCCGCTCATATGAAAGTGGTCGCCAGAGAACTCGCTTCCTTGGTTTTCAGCTGCCAGATGTTACCATCCAGAAACCGCTACACGGTACACGTGTGATGATATGGTGTACCGTCTCAGCACATGGTATATTAGACCCCGATTTCATTGAGGATGAGGAAGGCAAAGCTCTTACCATCACCCAAGAACGCTACAGGGACATGGTGATCGGACCATTTCTTCAGGATTTGAGAAGGTTCTGTCATGCAAGGGGCCTTCACATGAATAGACAGTGGTATCAACAGGACATCTTTTCATTTCAGTACTGTTCATTTTGGTGCATACTGTATTTCCTGGCCTGAGACATTCATGTTGAGGAGTCTGAGCATTGCCAAGTGCTAATTGGACTTTCTTTTGTGTGTGAACTGATCTCAAATAATGCCTTGTTTTTAGACCTCCAGCTTACTGATTCAGGGCTGTACACATGCACAGCAAGTTCTGAGAGTGGGGAGACATCTTGGTCAGCCTCTCTTACTGTGGAGAAGACAGCGGCCCCAAACCTACACCGCATGCCAGATCCATCTACATACCCCAGTGCCCCCCCTCAACCACACATTCTGAACACAACCCAGTCATCTGTGACCATCTCATGGCATGAGGCAACCAAAAGCAAACCTGGAGCCTCACCACTCATAGGATATACTATTGAATACTTTAGCTCAGATCTCCAGACTGGTTGGGTTGTAGCAGCCAACAGAGTTACTGCTGACACAATCACGGTGAGTCTACGATCTGAAATTCTGCAGGTGAATCTGAAGACATTTCATTGGAGGGCCAAAAGTGTGACGCTTGTGATTGTTTTTAAATATAAGTTATTATGGACATCGTTATTATTCTTGTTGATTACCCAAGTCTCGTTAACCCTTTCCGGTCACCACATGTAGACAAATTTCCACAGTTGGGATGAGAGGGGTTTTTAAATGCCTGGCCAGCCACTGAGTTAAGTATTCTGCCCAAAAAATAGGTGCAACCAGGGCATAAAGTTAAACAAAATGTGTACTTACATTTTTGACTGTTCAGTTCTTAGGCAAACTGAACACTGCTGTAATATCTGTCAGTGAAAAGGTGGTAGTCTTCAATAAGAGAAACCCTGAGTCATAGTTTGCCCATCAAAGAAAGAGCTGTCTTTGAAATGAACGGTTTTTCAGAGTATGTCAAGTTACACATGTCACCATCAACACACAGCAGCACTTGTTCCAGTCTCACTTTCTGACGTTTCATTGCTCGATGCTTCACTTGCAGCTTCTTCTTCAATTTCCAAATCCAGCTCATCAACAGAGTCAGTATCAAGTTCTTCATTTAACATATCACTAATAGATTCATTTAACATATCACTAGTAGGTTATATCTCAGTTTTTTCAATCCAAAGGGCTGGGGTTCAGCTGAATAGTAAAGCGTGCTACTAACACGTGACACGCCATAATATATAAATGGCATTTGTTCCTCAAGAAGTTCAAATTATGACTTCCAGATGGCAGAAGAAGGTAGACAAAACATTCATGAATGCATTGGCCCAGAATACAGTGACCAGTAATGACATGTGATTGACATATGACAACAGAAATGGGAAAGAAACTCTGTCAATCATGTATCGACTTTCATGCCTGGAAACGCTGTCACCATGTGAATTATATATCAACATCCGTCCAGAAAGGGTTAAATTTGGTATGAACACAACGTCAATCAGAACCAAAAGAAATGGCTATTTTTTTTTGCTTACCTTAACCAGCAGTACCAGCATTGCAGGTCAGGGATAATGCATGTGGTGGGAATGCCAGTACTGTTGTGCAGTACAGTATCTTGAAGTTTTGTATGGTGAAATATTTTTTAAAATGAGACTTAAAATGGTTAACAGTTCTAAGAAAATGGAAAATTAACATACAGAACACATAAATTGTTTTTATTTTAATAACTGATGAATTGTCAGGAAAATTACAGATTATTTTTATAAGAGGATGTATTATGGTTCCTAGAGGTAACCTTTTGTATACCACTGCTTGTCAGTAATCTCTCATTCATTGTTTTTATTTGCATTTGTGATGGAATTGAGGTTGGTCTTCATCACTGGCCTTCAGGTTCAGGCAAGGAACGTGTTCATTGAAGAATTGAACTTGTGTTTGTGTTACTTCAACCTGCGCCTCCTGTTACAGATAGGGGACTTGAAACCTGATACTTCTTATGTCTTCTTGGTCCGTGCTGAGAACTCACATGGACTGTCAGTTCCTAGTCCTGTATCTGATGTGGCACGGACATTGGGAGCTGATCGGCGTGCAGTACCACAGCATGAACTGGATGAAGCACGTGCCAGGCTGGGAACGAAAGTGGTAGAGTTGCGGGATGTTCAGCCAATCAGCTCAACCTCTGTCAGACTCATTTGGGATGTAAGTTTCCGTTGCTTGCAGAAGAGCAGAATAGTTTGGAATCACACTGTCCTAGTACAGTATTTCTTGTCCATGAAGGATGATTCAGTAGGCTACAGCATGCCCATAATAGATGAGCAACATATATAACTGACTGAATTTTTAGTCATAGAATTGAAGGTTCAGTTCCTTTGAGACAGAGGATAACTCTTGAAAAACAAGAATGTATTTACTTCGTATGGTGATAATATGTTTTAAGAAAGTAAAACTGTTTTTGGGAAACCAAACTACTAACTACTATAAAAGAGCATGACCATGTTAGTGCATGAAAATACACCAAATGCATTGTATGTTTTTCAGATCCTAGTTGGTGAAGCATATGTTGAGGGCTTCTATATTCGTTTCCGTGATCTGTCTGGAGGGTCACAGCAGTACAACATGGTGACAGTGCTAAATGCTGGCTCCACAGGCTACACTGTTGCAAACCTGCGAAAATTCACCAAATATGAATTTTTTCTTGTTCCATTCTTCAAGTCCATAGAGGGTCAGCCATCAAATTCTAAAATTGTACAAACTGCAGAAGATGGTAAGCAGTAATATGCACAGAGTTTAAAAATAAATTTAGCTGTCTGTGAATGATGTATGTTTTTGTGGATATGGAAGGTCTGGCAGTTCTCTTTTGCATAACATTGGAACTATAATTGAATGAATATGGCCTGTCTATCCCTTTCTAATTCCAGTTTAGCCATGTTATTTGCCACAAATATCGTCTCTCCTATTATTATTTTGCAAAACTTACTATGAATTTTGTCAGTTTCTGTCAATCCTTCATGTAAGCCCTACATTTCTGTGACACACATTGTTCTAAATTTGTTTATCATCCCATTTTCAGAAATCTTCACCCTTATATCAGATGTTCTTGCTAGGCTTTTGTGTGTGGCTACTAAAATCTGATTCCCCTTTCCTATTATCTTGGACTTTTGTCTTTTCCACCCTCCACTACTTTCAAATGTTACTCCCAAATATTCTATTTCATCTGCTGCTTCAATTTTGTTATTGTTTGTAGCCCATCTCATGTCTCTCTTCAGTTTACCTCCTTTCTAAAATACCAGTATTTTAGTTTTGTTTAGGTTACATTTCATGTTCCATTGCCCACATTACTTAGTAACTTGGTCTGTTGTTTCTGAAAACCTTTAATTATGACAGAGGAGAAGGCTACATCATCTGCAAATAGCAGTCCTGGAATTGTCATTCCAATTACTGGTAGGTGTGCACTATCCTCATACATAAAGTATATATTATCTATGTAAATAGTAAACAAATATGGACTCCAGCTACAGGCTTGTCTTTCTCCTTTCTTTCTATTTGGTAAAATCTGTCACCTTATCTTTTCCAAACACCATACAAAACTTAACTCCATCATACATTTCTTTAATGTATTGATCATATCACTTATTCACTTTCTTCTCAGTTTATACCACGGGGCTTCTTTACATTCAAAAGGAATGTGCAGTCAAAGGCATGAACTGTGTTCACTCACTCAAACCCTGGTGTTGTGGGTTGGGATTCCAATCAAAGGCATGGATGCCTGTTGTTTGTGTTGTCCTGTATGTAGGTAATGGCCTTGTGACAGGCTGATCACTCGTCCAAGGAGTCCTATCATCTGTGTAAAAAAGATTACATAACAGAAGAAGAGGCCAGGGCCCAACAGAGGGCTTTAGTGCCATTGATGAATGAATGAAAATAGTCTTAGCTTCTAACAGAATTGTTAAAATAAATCATACACAAATATGTACCGCTTGTTTTTCTGTATCCAGTTCCATCAGCTCCACCAGGTAACGTGCAAGTAGGGATGCTGAATGCAACGGCTGCATTTGTCCGATGGTCTCCACCCCCACCACAACACCACAATGGGATTCTCCTGGGCTATAAGGTACAGGCCATTGGTATCAGAATAAATAAAGAGGAAATGAGATTACAGAGATGAGTTGGCCTGGGAGTAGAGGGGCAGTTTCATGTCCTAGCCACTTTACCCCCATTACCTCACTGATGAAGATGCTGGTTAAGCCTATCAATTGCCTTACTAGCTTCTCTTTGCAAATGGCAGCACTGTAAGGAAAAGAGGCTTGTTAGTTGTTCCCAGAACATTTTACTTAAATGATAGTCTGATAGTCTGTTCAGAAATTACACAGCTGTCTCCAGTTTTCCCTCTCACACTCAGTTTTGGTTTCTGATGGCCTCTCTAGGTAGTCCTGTAGTAATTTGTTTTAGGTGCAATTCCTTGTGAAACAAAATATCCCTAAACTATCTAGTTTTTTACAATGTTGTCACATATAGAGAATAACAGGATGGACAGCCAGGCTCTCTAACATATAGGTGACAGTTGTTCTTAACTCTTTGACTGGCGCGGGCGTGTTTTAACGCCCGGACAATGCCAGCCATTCCCTGGCGTTGGCGTGTTTTAACGCTTTGACAATCTCGCCCCTTCTTTGCTCTCTTGGCACTCATCAACCAAAGACATATATATGATAGTTTTTGTGCATGTTTATAAAGAACCCTTGTAAACTTTGTGGGGGTCTATATTACTGTCAGAACCCTCTGAGAAGGTAAAGGTCAGAAAATATTTCACATTCATTCAGTTTCACCATAGCTTCTTGCAGCAAGTGTCTTCGTGTTCCTACAGACCAGCTGGAAAATGTTGTGAACGAGATTTTTTCTGATGATGATAGTGGCAATGAAATAATGATTCCTGAATTGGATGAAGTTGATAGTGACAATAATACAGTGATAGGCAATGATCCACAAGACAGTAATCATGAACATTTACCTACCACGAGTGCGGTGCCTGACACGCCCATCT